GACAATTTAGACATCATTTCATTGGAACATAAAGAGAGAAAAAGAGTACAGAAATCAATATATCAACCCAATGTAGAGATAATGCCAGAGGCCACCATGGCAAGACCCTGCACTTGTTTACTCTGTGTGGATACCGATACCCGTGGTAAGCCACGGATTATAAACTGATCTCCACACGTCGTGGCAGATGTTGCAGTATCGTCTGCACCTTGTTTTGACGCTCCATAGTTGTTGGAGTCCAAAGCACTGATTGCTCCTGGTAGATAATCTGTTACAGCTCTGTTGTATTCTATAATACAATTTCCTAATAATCTGAACATTATAGGGTCCCTAGTGTCCTTAAACAGGTTTCCCACATTCTGTAATGTTTGATTGGTCTTGGTCAGGAGTTGTTGAAGACTGATGCGAGCAAGCCCTTTGACATCTGCATTCAAACTCCGAGGGTCTGAATTTAGGGATGTGACACAGAGGTTGAAGTTATTCGTGCGCTTGCATGTTTGGCGAATCAAATCTTCGCTTTTCTGTGAAGTTAAAGCAGAGGATTGGGTTGATGATGTAACAAGGATGGCATGAAGGAGAAAAAGAGAAAAACACCTTTGAGAGAAAAATGCCATTTTGTGTAGAGAAAATGCTATTTCAATTTCAAAACAGAGAAAAATGATATGTTGATGATGTATTGCTCGGTTTATTTTCTTATTTATAGATAAATGCGAGACTTTCTATCTTCATGGATTTGAATCAAAACATAGCATTTCAATGATTTGTTAATGTGCTTGAATGGATTTAAATGATTTATGAATGTAATCATAAAAGTAATGTTACGGTTTCTAAATATTTTACTAAATATTCTATCAAATGTCTCGTATGGGTGTGAGACTTATATGGCGTGGGTCTCACATCATAGGAGACATTTGATAAAATATTTGAGGTCTCTAATTAATGTATGGATTGAACATGCAATTTAATTTCTCAGTTTATAAAATGGTATAATCATTTTTAAGTTTGTGGGTTAGTTTTTTTTTTTATTTAATAAATGCAATTAAAGCTTAATCTTATCTATCCAAGCTCGTTTAAACATCAAAATCAAAGCTTCCACAGCTCGGATTAATATGTCCTATATCACAAGTTTGTAGAAGTACTCTTGGGTATTTATTGCACTACCAACTGGTTACTATGTTAGTAGACCCAGTTTCTTCAAGTGGGTATTACAAACCTTGAATATTCTTTGGTCTGTAAAAGAAAAAGGGGGAAAACTATGTAACAACGTAATTTATCTAATTTGTGTAATAGCCTATTGTGTACATGTGTGAAACTATTTGAATAAAAAATCAAACATAATATAACTCGCCCACTGCTGTTCACACAGGTTGGCATCGTCCCTAACATTAGCTGCACCTTGTTTTGATTCTCCATAGTCCTTGGAATCCAATGCAATGATCGCTCCTGGTAGTTCAATTGACACAGCTTTGTTGTATTCTTCAATACAAGTTCCTAAGAATTCGTACTCTATACGATCATGGGTTTGATTAAACAGTTTTCCCACAATCTGTAATGTTTGATTAGCTTTAACCAGGACTTGTTGAAGGCTGATGCGAGCGAGCCCTTTGACATCTGCTTTCAAACTCCGAGGGTCTGATTCTAGAGATGCGACACAGAGGTTAAAGTTATTGGTGCGCCTGCACGTTTGGCGAATCAAATTACTGTTTTTCTGTGAAGTTGAAGCAGAGGATTGGGTTGATACTATAAGGATGGCATGAAGGGAAAAAAGATAGAACAATCTTTGAGAGATCTACATTGCCATTTTGTGTAGAGAAATGATATATTTGTTGATGATATTATGTGGTCTATTTTCTTAGTATTTATAGATACAAAATGTGAGACCTTCCGTCTTCATGAATATTTTATACAATAAAGTTTCAAGTGGTAAGGTCCTGCACTCAAGTATTGTATAGAATATTTAATTCATTTGATGTTTCTAACATTTTTGCAGTATTTCTTTGTATTTTGTGAATGTACTTGAATGAGTTTGAATGATTTATGAATGTAACTATAAATGGCTTTGAATGATTTGTGAATTTACATAAATGGAATTGAATGATTTATGGATGTGCCTAAGATTTGTTTGTGAAGGCATATATATATTGTAAGAAAAATATTAGGAATACTTACTGGCCTCGTTTGGGAAGTGGCTAATTTAGAGGCTTTTTGACTTTTAGCTATTTTAGTAGGCTATTTTAGTTTTTGTGTTTGGGAAGATGAGATGAATTTTATTTGAGTTGTTGTATTGAAAAATGTGTTGAAATGATGTTTGAAGTTAAAATGACAAATTTATCCTTAAAAATATATTTTTTTTAAATTGATGTAAAGGGGTAAAATCGTAATTTACTCATTGATGGAACAATTTGTGTAGCTGGCAGTGTAGGTGCCGGCAGTGCAGTCTATTTATTTATTTATTTATGTTTTTTTTTTAAAAAAGCTTTGAAGAGTGGGCTTTTTGGCTAAATTTTCATTTGAGGCTATAATAGCCTCAATCTACTCTTCCCAAATAGCGCCACTAACACATTCAAAAGTTGATGTGGGTCTCATACTTAATGATAGTTAATCTTATCAAAACATCTGAGTGTGCTGGTAAAATTGTTAATAAATGTGTTAATATCGCTATCATTGTTGATATTGTAAATGGATTTAAATGTTCAAATCTCTTCCATGCAACTTGGGTTCATATTGAATCCTAGAGTTATTTATCAGATCCATTCCAATTTTAAACAGATTTTTCGAGTTATTTAAACTTATTTCTTATACTCAAGTTGTTTTTTGAAATAGTATTATTAAAAACAAGCACGGTTTGATTTGATTTTCATAAACTATTTTCTGGATTTTTTTTTGAATAAAATATAAAATAATTTGATAAAAATAAACACCAAAACGATAATTTTATATTTGAAGAAATTATTTCTAGTCTTCATCTTCAAAAGATAAAATTATATGAAAATAATGAGCATGTTTTTTTTTTCACCATATTAATTAATTTTTTTTTTTTTGTTTGCTACAACTAGGATTTGGCTCAAGGGTAGAGGGATGATAAGAAGAACGACAAATGTTATAGAGACCAAGCTCTTCATAGTTTGGCTATTATTGCACTAGGAAAAAATTAGGACTGCAAGGAGAAGATTGTAGGTGGTGGTGTTATTCAAAGCCAAGAAGTTGGACTCTTCTTATAGTCAACTGCCATACTCTCAAGATGCAAGCAAACTTGGCTAGACATGTTGTTAAGGTTGCCAAATGTACATGTTGGTACTGTTTGGGATAGGTTTAATTCCACTTTCTTATGGTATAAAATGGTATAATTAATTAAGTTGGTACTGTTTCGAATATGTTGTGTGAATATGTTTCAACTAGAGGGGAAAAAAGCTTGAATGCAAAGGTGATATTATGTCATTATTGACACATAGTATTACCCTTCAATAACTTCTTGTGTAATTTAACATGGATATGTGAGAGTTACTAAATTATTATAAAAAATGTAGTTATATCTTAAAACTAGGGCTTACTGTTCATATAATTCCATGTACCAGTAATGACGTGATATCACAATACTGAATTTGAACTAGAGAATGATCTAAATTAGTTTTATGATTGAACATGCAATTTAATTTCTCAGTTTATAAAATGGTATAATCATTTTTAAGTTTGTGGGTTACTTTTTTGGAAAAATTATTTATAAGTCCTATTAGGGAGACTCATGCTGCATATGGTCCTACTAAAAAACTTATGTTCCCATAAGTCCTGTGAGAAGTTTGTTGACACATTTACCCTCAATATTAGTTGTTAATATCATAAATAATAGTAAAACCATATATAGAAAATTGAATGTTATCATAGATCATATCTATATAAACGTAGCGTAACGTGACACCTATATGTAACGTGACACCTACATAAACGTAACGTGACACCTATGATCTATGGTAACATGCAATTTCCTATATAGAAAATTGCATGTTACCATAGATTATATCTATATGAACGTAACGTAACGTAACACCTATGATCTTTGGCAACATTCAATTTTCTATATAGGAAATTGAATGTTACTATAGATCATATTTATATGAAACGTAACGTGACACCAACATAAACCAGCAACATTTTCACATTCAATTTAAAAAAATAAAAACTCATTAAGTTTGCGGAACGTAACGTGACACGTTACGTTACGTTTATGTAGGTGTCACGTTACGTTACGTTTATATAGGTGTCACGTTACGTTACGTTTATGTAGGTGCCACGTCACGTTACGTTTATATAAGTGTCACGTCACGTTACGTCTATGTAGGATTTTGTAGAATACATTCCTATCTAAATATAGGACTTGAGACTCTGTAAGAAATTACACAGGACTTAGCCTACCATAAATGTCTGAAAAGGAACTTATAAATAAGTCTCCCTAGTTTTTTCTATTTTTTTTATTTAATAAATGCAATTAAAGCTTAATCTTATATATCCAAGCTCTTTTAAACATCAAAATCAAAGCTTCCACACCTCAGATTAATATGTCCTATATCACAAGTTTGTATAAGTGCTCTTGGGTATTTATTGCACTACCAACTTTTTACTATGTTAGTAGATCCACTTTCTTCAAGTGGGTATGACAAACTTCGAATATTCTTTGGTCTGTAAAAGGGAAAGGGGAAAAACTATGTAACAACCTAATTTATGTAATTTGTGTAATAGCCTATTGTGTACATGTGTGAAACTATTTGAATAAAAAATCAAACATAATATAACTCTGTTTTCTACTTCAGATTTTGGTTTAATTTCCATGAAGATTTATATGGGTTGTGGGAATATTTGGATTGTTGATTATATGATCATGTTTTCTAAAATGTATAGATCTGAATATCAAAAAAGAGAGAACAAAAAAATAATAATAATAAAAAGTAGGGAAATTAATTCATGAAATGCAAAACTTATGTCTTTATGATGAATATGTACTTCCATTTCCCCGGACTGAATTTCACATTACTATAGAAGATAATTTAGACATCATTTCATTGGAACATAAAGAGAGAAAAAGAGTACAGAAATCAATATATCAACCCAATGTAGAGATAATGCCAGAGGCCACCATGGCAAGACCCTGCACTTGTTTGCTCTGTGTGGATACCGATACCTTTGGTAAGCCGCGGATTATAAACTGATCCCCACACGTCGTGGCAGATGTTGCAGTATCGTCTGCACCTTGTTTTGACGCTCCATAGTTGTTGGAGTCCAAAGCACTGATTGCTACTGGTAGATAATCTGTTACAGCTCTGTTGTATTCTATAATACAATTTCCTAATAATCTGAACATTATAGGGTCCCTAGTGTCCTTAAACAGGTTTCCCACATTCTGTAATGTTTGATTGGTCTTGGTCAGGAGTTGTTGAAGACTGATGCGAGCAAGCCCTTTGACATCTGCATTCAAACTCCGAGGGTCTGAATTTAGGGATGTGACACAGAGGTTGAAGTTATTCGTGCGCTTGCATGTTTGGCGAATCAAATCTTCGCTTTTCTGTGAAGTTAAAGCAGAGGATTGGGTTGATGATGCAACAAGGATGGCATGAAGGAGAAAAAGAGAAAAACACCTTTGAGAGAAAAATGCCATTTTGTGTAGAGAAAATGCTATTTCAATTTCAAAACAGAGAAAAATGATATGTTGATGATGTATTGCTCGGTTTATTTTCTTATTTATAGATAAATGCGAGACTTTCTATCTTCATGGATTTGAATCAAAACATAGAATTTCAATGATTTGTTAATGTGCTTGAATGTATTTAAATGATTTATGAATGTAACCATAAATGTTAAGAGTAATATTAGGGATTCTAAATATTTTATCAAATATTTCGCATGGGTGTGGGATTCACATGGTATGGGTCCCACATCTATGTGAGACATTCGATAGAACGTTTGGTAAAATATTTGGGTCTCTAGCATTTTTCTAAATGTTAATGTACTTGAATGGATTTAAATGATTGATGAATGTAATCATAAATGGCTTTGAATGATTTATAAAATGGATCTGAATGGTTTGTAGACTTTTTTGTTTTGAGAGATAAATGTTAAGAGTAATATTAGGGATTCTAAATATTTTATCAAATGTTTCGCATGGGTGTGGGATTCACATGGTATGGGTCCCACATCTATGTGAGACATTCGATAGAACGTTTGGTAAAATATTTGGGATCTCTAGCATTTTTCTAAATGCTAATGTACTTGAATGGATTTAAATGATTGATGAATGTAACCATAAATGGCTTTGAATGATTTATAAAATGGATCTGAATGGTTTGTGGACCTGTTTGTTTGGAGTAGGGGTGCAACTCGGGCGGGTTCGGTCGAGTTTGGAGGTTGTCCAAGCCCAGTTCAAGTTGTGTGGAGACCTGCCCAAGCCCGAATTGTAACCCGAGGTTGTCTGCTCAAGCCCGACCCGAGTTAAACCCGAATTGCCCAAGTTGCCTAAATTGTACATGAATTTCAGTTTTTTTTTTTTTTTTACATTATTAAATTATTAAAATTTGACTCTATTTACAATTATTTTTTTTAATAGAAAATCATTAATATTATCAAAACAGATAATTTATATAATGTAAAGGAGATGTTATTATAGTAGCCCTTACAATTTATGAGTAAAAATAAAAAGAAAAAAAGTAAGATTTTATGTTATTTATATATATAATATATATTCAATATGATTTAATAATATAAATTATTTTAATATCATATAATGATTAATAATTTATATGTATATTTCATATTTTTATATATCTATATATGTATAATTTGGGTTTCGGGTTGTGTGACGTCTTTGCCCAAGCCCGTCTAAATTTAATTCGAGCTTTTGAATTTTTGCCCAAACCTGTACTGAATTTAAAAATATTTTATCTAAATCCTAAAAAAATTCGGGCTGGGCTCGGGTTGCTCGAGTTGAGCCCGCCCAAGTTGCACCCCTACTTACACATGACATTTGACAATAGAAATTTTGATAAATCTCTTGTGATTTCTAACATTTTTCATAAATTAATTCAAAATAATTTGTATTTAAAAAATCTGTTTGAAATTGGCATGAATTTGGTAAATAATTCTCACGTTAGATAACAAAATCCAATTTTAGGTTGCTATAACCAGCAAATATTACAAAAGTCCCAACCAAATTTCTTTTAATAAAATGTTAGGCTCTGTTTGGATGTGATTATTAATACGGTGAGATGGAGTATTAGGTTGGTGATGTAAAATATTAGTTGGTTGTTGGTTGAGATTAGATTTATGCAATTATGTAAAATTCCTTATTATATAAAATGTGACTTTGCAATTCTTGTAAAGTAAGCGGTAAAATAGTGTTTTTACCTTTAATTTTATGAGATTAGATTTCAATACTACATTTGCGAATCCTCTCCTTGCAGAGATTTCATTGAGACTCTAAATTCCATGACAATTTTTCAAAATAAACATGTTGTTTCTGAACCTCACCGCACTCACTTCCAATCTAATCTTATCATTTATCTCTCAAAACAAAGAGGTACACAAACCATTCAAATCCATTTTATAAAGCCATTTATGATTACATTCATCAATCATTTAAATCCATTCAAGTACATTAACATGACATTTATTTGATAAAATATTTAGAATCCCTAATATTAACATTTATAGTTACATTCATAAATCATTTAAATCCATTCAAGCACATTAACAAATCATTGAAATTCTATGTTTTGATTCAAATCCATGAAGATAGAAAGTCTCACATTTTGTATCTATAAAATTGTAAGACCCACACCATATTAATCTCACGTGAGTTTCACACCCATGAGAGATATTTGATAGAAATTTTAATAAATCTTTTAAGATCTCTAACATGACTCTTTATTTATTAAATTATGGTTGTTTTTAGGGTTGATATTTTCTCAAGTTTTGATTCAACAATCAATTTTTTGGGGTCTCCTATTTGATTCAACAATCAATTTTTTTTATGAATTTATTGTTGGAAGTGCTCTTTCCATCTCAAAGTTACTTCGCAAAAGCAAACATAAATTCAAACTCAAGTAAATTATTCATCCATTCATCTCCTATTTGATTGAACAATATTTATTTATTTATTTGTTTTTTGTGTCTGTGAAGTAAACTAATATATAGTCTAATATACTTTTGTAGTATATAAATTGATGTAATTAATTTAAGCTTCTTCAATTTTTTGGCCCGATAAAAGGATCAAACTAATTAGTTAAATGTTGAATGTGCTCAGTTGAAAAATGATTTTAGATATTAATGTGTACATTAAAAAAAAAAATTATTTTAGAAATTGAATAATACTAAATTCACAACCAATGTTGTGCAATTTTGTCATTCAGCTTATACCAATAAGGACTTCAAAAGCCCATTTACCATGGATATAATCACTACTGAATTTCCAATACTTAATTTCACTCATTCATCAAACTGTTCAAAACTATTAATTAGATTTTTTTTTTTTTTCTTTTTTTTCATGAAGCCGCCCCACAATTATTAAACCATTCAAAAATTTTAATGCAAAATTGCAAAAGCAATCAGCTAATTTGCTAAAGAAGACAACGAAGCACTAAAACTTGACCATGAAATATTAATGTGTACATTAAAAAAAAAAATTATTTTAGAAATTGAATAATACTAAATTCACAACCAATGTTGTGCAATTTTGTCATTCAACTTATACCAATAAGGACTTCAAAAGCCCATTTACCATGGATATAATCACTACTGAATTTCCAATACTTAATTTCACTCATTCATCAAACTGTTCAAAACTATTAATTAGATTTTTTTTTTCTTTTTTTTCATGAAGGCGCCCCACAATTATTAAACCATTAAAAAAATTTAATGCAAAATTGCAAAAGCAATCAGCTAATTTGCTAAAGAAGACAACGAAGCACTAAAACTTGACCATGAACATATAGAGAAAAGCGTAGACAAATAATCAACCCAGTATAGAAATAATGCCAAAGGCCACCATAGAGAGGTCACGGACAGCATGGTTCTGATTGGTGACCAGTGATCCGCTCGCCCACTGCTGTTCACACAGGTTGGCATCGTCCCTAACATTAGCTGCACCTTGTTTTGATCCTCCATTGTCATTGGAATCCAATGCAATGATTGCTCCTGGTAGTTCAATTGACATAGCTTTGTTGTATTCTTCAATACAAGTTCCTAAGAATTCGTACTCTACGATCATGGGTTTGATTAAACAGTTTTCCCACAATCTATAATGTTTGATTAGCTTTAACCAGGACTTGTTGAAGATTGATGTGAGCAAGCCCTTTGACATCTGCTTTCAAACTCCGAGGATCTGATTCTAGAGATGCGACACAGAGGTTGAAGTTATTGGTGCGCCTGCACGTTTGGCGAATCAAATTAATGTTTTTCTGTGAAGTTGAAGCAGAGGATTGGGTTGATACTATAAGGATGGCATGAAGGAAAAAAAAACAGAACAATCTTTGAGAGATCCACATTGCCATTTCGTGTAGAGAAATGATACGTTTGTTGATGATATTATCTGGTCTATTTTCTTAGTATTTATAGATACAAAATGTGAGACACCTTTCATATTCATAAAGAGTTATGATAGGGATTCCAAATAATCTTGGGGTCCATAGCATTTTCCATTTGATAATTCATTTGGAGTTTTTAGCATTTTTGTAATATTTCTTTGTAATTTGTGAATGTTGAATGTACTTGAATGAATTTGAATGATTTATGAATGAAACCGTAAATGGCTTTGAATGATTTGTGAATCTATACTATATATTAAGGCTTTGAATGATTTGTGAATCTATGCTATATATTAAGCAAAAAATGGTTTTTAACCCTCAAGGCCTATGGGAGTTTCAATATCCCAATCTGAATTTTTTTAATTTTTTATTTAAAAAAAAAAAACTCAGCATTTATTGATTTGGTCAAAATGTCCTGATCAGCATTTATTAACTTTTTTCAATCCACATGTCTTTCCACATGCCTACATTTATTGATTTGGTCAAAATTCCCTGATCAGCATTTAAAATCCCCTCATACAAATAATTATAAATATAATCCGTGTATAGTTACTACAGCACCTTTTTCAACTTCTCTCAAACACTATGGTTAGCGATAAGATTGTTAAATTATTTTTATAAAAAATCTTTAAAAACATAATTTATATATTAAAAAAATGTAAAACAAATATAAATATTTATAATTATCCCGTAGATAGCACAGGTGATAGGCTAGTTTACATAAATGAAATTGAATGATTTATGGATGTGCCTAAGATGGCTTTTGAATGGTTTGTTTGTGAAGGCATATATTGTAGGAAAAATACTAGGAATACTTACTAACACATTCATATGTTGTTGTGGGTCTTATATCTCGTTTGGCAATATCATTTTTAGTTTAAAAGTCAAAAAATCACTAACAAAATCAAAAAGTCAATAACTTATAAAAAGTCAAAAATTTCTTTTTTTCCTCTACTTTTTGCACATCTTTTTATAAAAAATCAACAAATTATTCCAAACATTCTAGTTTTTTTTACATCATATTTTAGTTAAAAATTACTAAAAAAACTTGTTCCCAAACAAGACCATGGGTTAATCTTATCAAAATATGTGAGTGTGGTGGTAAAATTGTTAATAAATGTGTTAATATCGCTACCATTGTTGATATTGTAAATAGATTTAAATGTTCAAATCTCTTCCATGCAACTTGGGTTCATATTAAATTCT